ATGAGGACATATGAACCGGGAGACACACGTGTACCGCACGTAAACATGAGGACATATGAAAACGGTCTCATATGGACACACTTTGGCTGCATAATGTTCGGAGAAAACACCAGCTGTCACAAATATCATACCTATATACAATATCCACATACATACTTATACATTACACATATGTTATATGGTTCAGTAGCCAGTAATCATTTTCAGAATAATCATGCTCACCTCCTCCATTCGATAGCCTTGGAAAACATACACATAGTCTCCAGGCCGGCCCGCAAACCTGAAACATCATGTTGTATGAGTTACTAAAAACATGACAAACTCACATCATCTCATCCATGTTTAATGTTTTTATTTCCTCAGCTATGTAATACCCTGCTAGTCTCTGATCATGGGTTCTTCATCGGTGTGATATCCCTGCCCTGTTCCCTTCAGCAATTCTCCAGCTGTCTAAGGTACCCAATGTACACTATATGGTCAATAGCATGTGAACACCAGATTTTCCAAAATCCCAGACCACAACCAAGTCTATTAATATGAAGTAGGTCTATGTGTTGGTCCTATACCAGCCTCTGCTCCTCTGGGAAGACTTTCCATTGGATGTTGTAACATTGCTCGTGGGATTTACTCCATTCAGATTGGGTATTCATGCGGGGTGATCATGTTCCTTTCTGTTAGTTTTGTGTGACCTACCACTTTGCAACTGACCTAGATTCCAGATGCTTCCACTTCACAGTCACTTCACTAGTAGGTGACCACAGCAGCTTTAGTTAAGAGGAAACTGATTTGCTGGAAGGATGCCATCTTATGTTGGTGCCACATTGAAAGTCACTAACCTCTTCTGTACAGCCACCCATTCTGTACCGCTGCAAATGTTGGTTGCTGAAGATTGTGTGGCTGTGTGCTTAATTATACACCTATGTCAGCAATGGGTGAAGCTTAATTAGCCAACTCCTTTCATTGTTTGGGGTGTCCATATACTTGTGGATATATATTGTATCTCCAATTCTTTACCTAACCAACTATCACTGAACACCTAGTTAAGCAGGTGAACAATTACTTTGTAGGGTTTAATGAAGCCCAAAATAGGTACACCAGGGTACATTACCCTATAAGGTGGGTCATATCCCAGGTTATTCAGGGTTTAAAGGTTTCAAGTTTTATGATCAGATTTGTTCAGAGGAACGCAGTGAAATTCTTGTGCCACAGTTGCAGGGGACAGGTAGGTGCACAGGGGGGACAAAAGGACCAACAACAGTGCAATAGAGTACAAAACAGCAGTGCAATAAAAGACAAGACAGTGCAAGACAAAAGACCACTGGAATTTTTGCTGCTACAGTAAGAAATAAAGATTGATTTCTCTATTGTTTCAAAGCCCACCTTGAATTACTGGAATATTCCTTGGTGTTACCTACCTTCCTTTGAAAAATGCCACGTAGAAAATCGGACCATAAGCGTTCATGAACTTTAGAAGAAAAGCTTTCAAAATCATGCGTTCTTCAAACTCTCCTTCAGTTTTAGGGATCTCTGTGGAAACATAAGTGAAGGTACTATTAGTGGGGAGGTCCTCCTCATCTTTCCCTTGGCAGCAAGTCCTTCAGCATCTGACCATATGACTATATCTAACCTAGCTCTGTGAGCCAGATGGCTGCAGCTCCATAGATCTCATCCAGGATAAGAATGACCACCAGGTTGATGATGACCGCTGTAGAGGTGACTACCACACGAACATTGGACCTTGTCTCAGCTTCAGGGTTCATGGCCATCAGGGTTGAGATGGTGATTCGATAGATGATCACCCCAAACACGACAGAGAATGTCAGCCCAAACTGGGGAAAAAACGGGGGGAAAAAAGACAAGAATGGTAGAGCCATAGGAAACAGCGAACATCAGGTTGACAGAGGATGCCATAGCCACAGCCCTCCACATAACTCTAACCCATCTGGCGCAGAAGGGGAGCTATGCCAGACTTCTCTTCATTTTCTTCAGCTCAGCCTTCAACACAATCATCCCAAAGTGACTGGTAATTAAATTATATAACCTCAGATTCCCACACTCCACCTGCCTCTGGATTAAAACCTTTCTAACTGACCGTTCACAGAGAGTCAGAGAGTCTCCTCAGTACTCAGCCTCTGCACTAGCTCTCCACAGGGATGTGTGCTGAGCCCCCTACTGTACACTCTCTATACCCATGACTGCATCACCACCCACCCAAGTAATGCCATTATTAAATTTACAGACGACACAACTGTGGTCGAGCTCATCGCGGGGGGGAAATGAGTCCACATATAGGGGTGAAATGGCAAGACTGTCACCATGGTGCAGCACTAACAACCTGACCCTCAACACCACAAAAGCTAAAGAAATTATTGTGGACTTCAGGAGAGACAGATCTGTCCCTCAGCCCATACACAGTGTGCAGTGGGTCCCAGCCTTCAAGTTCCTGGGCCTGCATCTGGACGAGGATCTGACCTGGAAAACCAACACCACTGTCCTGATAGAGAAGGCACAGCAACGACTCCACTTCCTGAGGGTCCTCAAAAAGAACAACTTGCTGGTGTCCTTCTACAGGTGCTCCATAGAAAGTGTGTTGACTTACAGTACTGCATTCCCGTGTGGCTTGCCAGTTGCACTGCAGGAGAAAAAAACTATACTGCAGACGGTCATTAACAGCCCAGAAAATCATTGGCTGTGCTCTCTTGTCCTTAGAGGACCTCTACAAGCCCCACTGCTACAGAAAAGCCAGCAACATCCTGGAGGACACATCACACCCAACACGCCACCTGTCTGAACTGCTGCCCTCAGGCAGGCGGTACAGAGCAATAACAGCTCATACAAACAGACTGAAAAACAGTACATAGCCCAGGGCCATCACTGTTATACACAACAAACTGAAATGAAAGACCATCCAATCTCTCACTGCGTAACTCTGTGCAATACCAATCATCCAATCTCTCACTGCGTATAGTGCAATATTGCAATATACACTCTCTTCTATCATCTCCATGTGCAATATGGACTACAGAGGAACTTCTCGCAATTGCCACAGTTGCAGCATAATGTACCATAGATACATCCATCACTGTAACTGCAGTGGACCTAGTGTAACACAGAAAGGACCTATGCCCGACCTAGGGCATATGAGGCGGAAATGCTAGCCACTGTGCCACCATGTTACCTACCCATGGAAGCATAAGAATATTTTTATTTGCCATTTAAAATCATTTTGCACTGAAAGGGACTGTATCCAATGCCGTTGTGCTTGTACAACAAAAATAAAGATTCTGATTCTGACAAAAAGAGCCAGACCCAGGCTCACCACATACCATAAATAAGATGGAGGCGATGTTGAAAATGTACCCAGGCATCCAGTCAGTCCACCTTAGTTTCTCCTCTCCTGTCTGGTTTTGGTAAGACAGAGAACTACACTTAGAACACAGTCACAACTAAATATTCAGCGTCCCCTTCAAGAGACGGCGACAGAAATTGTGTTCATAGCTTTGTGAGTGTTTCAGCAGGATCATGTTGTATAACCTAAAAAAATATTAGAGACATAGACTAAACTCATTCAGCAACATTGCATTAGTCACATTAGAAATTGAAAAATAAAAGGAAGAACCCATTTCTTAGCATCATGCTGATAAGATTTGTTTTACAAAGGTTAATAAATGGTTTTCAGACATGCTTCAAAATTCACAATTAACAGTGCTTGAGATATTTTGAGGCATATTTCGCAACAGTGCAAATGCTTTACTGATATCAGTCTGAAAAAAGTCATGTTTTGTTTTTTTTCCTCTATGCAAGTATCCTACTTAAAATAATTGGCAAAAGAAAATGAAATGAATGGAGTGTGAAAAACAGAGAATCATTACTGCCATATCTTGGACAGTTGATGAGATTCAGTAGACTTATGTGAGAATGGTTCTTTTTTAAATCACCAAGCTTCGTTTTAGCATTGTTTTGGAAGAAGACTGGCGTATCCTATGAAATAAACTGGAAAAAGCTTGTCTTTTTTGTTGTAGACTGAATTACAGCTAAATACCACAGCAGCAAAAAGATGGAGATAAGCAGGAAGTCGAGTGCAGCTATCAGTGTTCCAATAAGCCTACAACCACATTCTGCTGTCAAGGTTTTAATGCTCTTACTGCTACAAGCAGATGCGCCCATTAGCTATGCTTTGTATTACCTGGGCTGCTCCACCTATGGCACTCAGAACACGCCTCCACTGTCCCACATCCGTAGCATCCTCAGCCCCTCTCTCTGGCTGGAGGGGGAGATTTACAAAAGGTTGAGATAGAATCATAGTTTTGAAAAGTTAGGTCTAGCAAACAATTTAGAAGAACGTTGTCTGCCCACACAAGGTCCTACTGAACCATTTTTTTCTGTAGTTTCTGCACTGTTAGTCACATAAATGTCACATACTGCAGCCAACTTGACAAAATGGCTGTGCTTCTGCTATGATATTTATTGAGCAGAAGGAACTTCACCTCATTCCTGTTCCGCTTTCTTTTTTTCCTCTTGTTCATTGTCTTCTTCAGTATAACGTTCTCATACTTCGGTCTTGAATGTTCCTAAGGATACAGAAGCACTGTACGTTTCCAAAATTTGCTTCCGTTCCCATATTTCTATGACAGAGATGGTCAAAGAAGTGCTATTCTCACCAAGATCACGTACAGCTACTCATTTTGATCTAAGCCTTTAATAACTAAAGACAAATTAAATTGACTAATATTTGGTTAGGGAACATCAGTTTACTAGGACTAATGTTTCTAACTAAAAGAACTAACAGGTTGAACAACATGAAAGCTATTATGTGTAACCAAGTAAAAGAACTAACATCTTTAATTAAAAGAGCTAATATTTATAATCACATCAAAAACACCAAACCATAATTCGTTCCTGGAGGCAAAGATGGCATTTTGAAAGAGAAAATGAAATTTTCATTATATAACACAGTGCATTAGAGAATATTAATCATGCTCATTTCTGTGCTTCAAACTGAGACTGAAACACATGATCAAATGCCAGAGCCAAACATTAAACTTTAATGTATGCCAGACATCAAAAATGAAGTACAAGCTGGGCATCACATTGACATTCAGGACCAGACATCCATATCATTCAGATTTCTTGTCCTCTACAGCTGCTGCTAAGGGGGAGATCATTCTAAGGAGACAGATCATGTAGAATATGGGTGTAAACAGCAATCAATACTGCTAATTTTAGTGCTTTGCTTAACCTAGACCGCTCACCTCTTCCTCCTCCAGGCCGACCAGGTCCCACCTGTACGAAAGACACATCTGCCTCCTCTTCCAGAGCTCCAAAAACATAGCAGCTTTAGGAGAACACAAAGTCCTGTTACAGAGGATCATTACTATGCTTGCATTTTAAAATATTGCACATTTATAAGGCAGTGATGGAGAAAAATAGTGCCAAAAAATATGTATCAAAACTTATTTTCCTCCCATATCAACTGTTCATAACTGACCTTGAAAGCCGGTCAGACTTGGGGCAGATGGAACTTTCACTAGACGCTTAAGGTATCTACTCTGTTCAATCCCACTTCTCACAGGCTAATCCAGATGGACCATGATGGTCTTTGTCATAAACACACGGAGGCAGCCTGGAGCTCTTCTCACCCCAGAGTGACATGAAGATGGCGAAGAAGACGGTGCCTGGGTTGTCAAACAGGTGGCTTGCCCTAGCAGTGCTGCAGGCCGAGCTCAGCTGCCAGAAGTCACACACGTTGTCACAAAGGGGGCACATGGTGAAATTCCGCTGCTCGTCACACAACTCCATACTGCATGGACCGAGCAAGGAAGAGGCTTCAGAGCCACACACTGATCAGCAGGAAAACAGCATACAAGTTGGAATAATGTGCAGCCTACTTTAGAGCATGGAGGAGAGTCCTTTCTGCCTGTACCTGGGCACATTAGAGTCCAGAGTCGCACAGCCGTAGAAAAACACGATGATCCCCACCACGGAGGCCGGGATCAGCAGCTGGGTGTAAATGCCAAGCCAGGCAAAGTACAGGCCGATCTTCTCCCCAAAGTACCTCCTTTGATGTAAAAGCAACAAACCCAGATGTAAGCCCAATGCGGGCCTAGGGCTGGAACAGGCTGACTAATTCTGTGCTGACTCTAGTTTTTGGTACCTGATTAGATCTATAGGTTGGTACTTATAAAACACCCCGTATCTGGCCCATTCGTCATGCAGGAGCTGGAAAGGGAGACATTTTTACTCAGAAAGCTTTGCCATTTCGTATATGTAGTCTTCTGCAAGGTGACACATCTAGAAAACTGATCTTGTATAATACCATATACCATGACCAAGCTCAGGATAAGCATAGTTAGGGTTAGGGTCAGTTTTTCAGAAAACAATACAATGGAAATTTATTCTTAATAAGTTATTTCTCTTTTGTAAACTTCAAAAATAGTTATAATGATATAATGCAATCTGCTCATAATTGACTGTTTTTCCGATCTAGCCAGACCAGTCATGAATCTTAACACTAAAGGAGTTTCGAACATCTTATATAGTTACTTTGAGTCCCTTGTCTACAATTCCTGGCCACATATGTAAGTAAACAACATTAAACCATAAATATACACTAGATCAACTAGATGGAGACCCACCTACTGTTTCCACAATCACATACCCAGTTTATCTCTGATTACACCTTACATTACAGTAACTGCATACCCCAACCCCACATCTATATCTCATCCATCTATACCTGTGTCCACCCACCATACCTGTCTGTCATTCCTCTTCTCTATCTCCTGAGGACTCTGAAAGGTACCCTATGACCAGATGGGGGAACACAATCAAAAACACTTCCTCTACTGACATAATCAATCACACTGCGCACACAACCAAGAAAAGCCCAGTGTTATTCATCAATATAAATAAGTGGAGAAAGTGGAGATGTTTCATGAACTTGTATTCAGCTTCAACTCACATCATGCAGTGGGAAGGCAGAGTCATAAACACCTTTGGCAATTAAAGTGGTGACACCTGCAGAAGAGGACAAGGCCAGTCACTGCTTGTACAGTGGAAGATGCTCCCTGACATTACTCAGCCGTGCTTAATGTTTTCCCCATCCTGCATTAACTGTTGTTTTCACCTTTAAGGGAGAACATATACGAGACACAAAGGACGCAGCCTTTAATCGCAGTAATGAGGCAGCCCTCACGGGAACCATGATATAACTGGAAAAATGAGCCCTTCATCACAACCTAGGATTGGGGTGTTTCCACAAACGTCTTGTTCGGAGAGTGGATCATGTGCGCCTGTTTCCACCATTATACTGTTTTTTGTCAATCTGTAGTTCTGTCTAGATTTAGATAATGTAAACTGTGCTTGAATGTTATATTAAAGTTGGTCTTTGTCCTTCTCAATCATATTGCTGACAAATGTTTTCCTATGTTGTTACAGGATAGAAGAACAATAATATTTTTCTGTCATTTAAGCACCTCAATACACAGTTGGATAATGTGACACAGTTTAATACTCATTCATTTAAGGCTTGTCCTATGGATTCATTTCCTCTCTCCGTTATTACCCATGAGGAGAGGCAGGTATCCATCTTATGTATTAAGTTTTACAAGCAGAATCAAAAAGCAGAAATACCCAGTTTGCCAGTTAAAGTCCACACAAGACATAAAACGATACCCTGATAATGATTAAAATTTGTTTCAAATTGCTGTACTACATTTCAAATCACAATTTTAATAGGTAGTGACAGATTAGATCTCTTACATATACATACAGTACATTAGTATATTTATGGTCATTAAAAAAAGTAAGGGTATTTAGATCATTCTTCAGATTTAGCAGGATCTATTTTTAATTGAGAAGGGTAATGAAAGATGGTGCACAGGCTTCGTATTTAAACACCGTAACACTGGACTGTAAAAGTGAGGGACAATTTGTGCAGTTAGTGTGTAGTGTGTTTTTTACATACTCTAGCTGTTAGCCATATTCTGTCATGGTGGCGTGGCATTTGCAACTCCGACACAGAGGAGTTTATTAATAAACAGAACTGAAAATGAAAGGTGAAACCACAAAATAAAGGGACCAGGGGGATCAAAAACAAACAGGAAAAAATAGCAAACTAGAAGAAACCACAAAGTAACACTACAAGGGAACAGGACTAGGAACAGAGCAAAGTAACAAACCCACTGTGACTAACTAGATAACTGAGCCCAGCAAGCACTTAAATACACACATCACACTGGGCTAACGAGGGAGCAGGAGTGAGAAATGACCAAGACAACCAATCAACAAGGGCAATGGGCAACAAGCACTGAACACAAAACCAGGAAACAAACATTAGAATACAATGCAAAGTTGATCAACATGGAACAAAAGGTACAACACAAAAACTAGAACAGGGGCCTGTTTCACAAAGCAGGATTACTTGCTTAGCCAGATAACTTGCCAGATTTAAGGTAGTCTGAGCGAAATGTAAGTTGATGAAAATAAGGTCTATTTAGCCCAGACTACCTTAAATCTGGCAAGTTATCTGGCTAAGCAAGTAATCCTGCTTTGTGAAACAGACCCCAGAACACAAGAAAGGCAAACCAATGACAGAGAAACAAACAGAAAATAATAAACACTAGGGAAAATGAAAATGCAATAAATACAAAATAACAGATGGCCTGAAGGTTAACAGCCTGAGCCACACACTCATCCCAGTGAGCTATGAAGACAGAGGAGGGAACAGGATGGCCAGTAACACTTGCTAACTAAATAGGGACAAATCACCTAGGACAGACACCAATCCTGAGAAACTTCAAATTGTCATTTGTATCCCTTCCACAGCACTGATACCCGCAAACACTGCCCTACTGACAGGCTCTCGCAGTCATCAGAAGCCTCTGATACCCACAAACACTGCCCTACTGACAGGCTCTCGCAGTCATCAGCAGCCTCTGTCATCCATTCTCAAATCCCCACATTTCAGTACCCCTTCACATCACCCACTGGGACTGGCACAATGACCCACTAAACCACCAGTAGAGGTTACGCTACGGGATTACAGCTTACCCATGGTTTGGTAGGCTTGGGAACAGGAAGTACGCCTCACTATCTCATACACCTGGTAGAGAGGCAAGGGAAATAAAACAAGTGATACTGCTTCCCAGGGAAGGTGGTGCAGCTTCTGCAAACAACAGGCCTCAGGGGAGAGTCTCATTACTCAGGTGCCTGGAGATCAGGAGGTAGCCTTGTGGAATGACATATGTTAATCATGCTCCTGCTTTCTCTGCACTTCACTTTGCAATGCAGTTTGAGTCTCATCTGCTTTCAAATTAGCAGCCAGGAACCAAAATACATGAGAGAACAACATATTTATTAACTCACAGCAGCAGCTAATGAGTCACCAATATAGGTTGAGGATGTGTGTGAACGTCGGTCATTCTGTGTGACTTACTATACGACTGCGGGTTGCGTTGTCAAAGAACGTATCCTTGTGCTTGATGTCATACCTGCGAATAATAAAAATCACAGCTTTATTTAATTTATATGTAAAGCTGGCCATTTCAATAACAATTACTCATGCCAACCCATGCCATCTCATATCATGACTAATACCATTTCATGCCGACTAATACCATCTCATGCCAACTGATGCTGGCTAAAACCATCTCATGCCATCTCACACTGACTCATGCAATGTAATTTCATCTCAATCCAACCCATTCCATCTCATGCTGACTCATGCAATGACATGCTATCTCATGCCAACCCATGCCAGCCCATGCTGGCCCAAGCCGATGCAGGTCGACCCCTCAGCTCCCTCCCTTCCAGTGCCCTCCCTTCCTGCCCCCTCCTTGCTCCCTGCTGTCCAGCCAGCATCAACTTACAGGTGCAGCTTATCCCTGGAAAAGCAGTGGGACAGGAACTTGGTCCGGCCTTGGCCCATCAAGTCTGGTACTCTGGGCTGAAAGGGCTGATTGAGTTTACGCCATAAAACGCACAAGCTGTGTGACATCCCCGTCTCCTTCTTCCTCTCGTAGCTCTGTGATATAATTGATAGAACACCACAGTGAAACTACACTCCTCATGTCCCTATTGTAGAAGCAGAGGAGGCCCATCCCTTTGTGGTAACTAACAGACACACTTGTTGGAAGACCAAGAAAGCATCTGCATCTCCAGAGGTCAACCCAGGAGAATCCTCACCTTCTTGGTGGGAACTTTGATTTTCAGGAACTCTGCCTCACGGCTCAGAACAGGCCAGGGTGCGTGCAGTCTTATGAAAGCCAGGCCATGTGCTTTGTTCTGGGAAGATACAAGTCAGTGGACAAGTGAGTTTTGAATTCCTATATCCATTACCAATCATAAGTAGCGCAGTGATTTTAAGTATAAGATGTCAAGTTTTATTTTCACACCATGAGGACAAATGGAGGGCTTCATAATAGTTTACAAATTGTAAAACACAGGACGCTGCAAGACAAAGAGGCACTTACAGTCTAAAATCTATCTAAAGACTATCCACCTAGCTAAAGACAAACTAAGGTACTTTCCTTATCAGAAAAGCACAGGGTGCAGTTAATGTAGAACTCATCCTAGTGGAGACAATTCTGTTAACTGTAGTAGCTTCCATGCAACCAAAAAGCCCAAAGCCTTACAACTCATTTGCATGACCTAAAAGGCAAAATCCCTCTGTCTGGCAGACAATGGGAACTACAACGTTGAGATGCAGACAAGCTCATTTTCACACTTTCCCAGTCCTTACACATGCCCGAAAAATAACCAAACATTAACCATAATTACATACTGATGCTTGTTTTTCAAATGACTTGTGCTTGACGGAAGACTCAGTAATCCAAAGCTATTGCGACCTACTGCAATATTCCTTTGGTATCAACAATTTGCGTGACCAGATTTTTATCACTGCCAATAATTAACATCTGGCTGGAGAAAAAATTCAGCTATCCCTTGTAGCCCCCAAAAGGAGGCATTGTCAATTGGATTCCAGTATCCAAAATCATAATGGTCTCTTTCACTTTCAGTTCTTTCTTTTGATAAAAACAAACAAACAAACAAATTGGAGATTTTTTAAGACTAAGATATAAAGAGTGTGTGGATTCCATTTCAGATCACCATAGGTTGACAAACCAGTTTCATGACATCTACCATCCTGGATAATAGCTTATGCTTGTGTTTGAACTATGAGGGTAATCAGTCAACTGTTACAGGCAGAAGAGAATAATTTACCCAACCAGAAATCCAGTCGGACACTGGCTTTCAAGGTACCAGCCATCCAGATGTGCTTCACCAGGACATCATATTATAAATCCCCTACACCATTGGTTGCTACTGAATCGAATCTATCACAATCTGTACCCAAATTACAACATAACATAACCCTAATGACAGCAAAGAACAGTCAACACATTAAGGTATCTCACACACATTCAAGGTTCAGTATAAATTCAGAAGTACAATGGTATTACTATTAAATCAGCTAATTGAACAAGGCATTTGCTGAATTGCAGATGTTTGAATATACCTTCAGAGTCTTTGATTGCCTACTCGGAAGAGTTTTTACAAAACAGCAAAGCACAACAGTGCACTTTATAATAAAATGTTCAGGTGTGATTTCATGCCCCAAACTATGCATGGATACTAAACCTTCAGTTCATGAATATGTCAAGAATATGGCTCTATGTTGTGAACCTTGCATCCTGTAAGGACAGGGCAGTGGGATGTCAAGAGCTCCAGTCATTGTAAATTGAAGTCTTTCTTCAAGCTCACTTCTTGGGTTTCTTTTTAACTGGAGACATTATTTGGAAACAAAATATTATATTGCATGATGTCCATCTTTCAGCCACAAATTCAGCATATATAGTCATGAGGGACATCACTTGTTCAAAATGTAAAACTCTTTCTACTCCATATGAGAGTTAACTCAGAAACCCACATAGCAGACCAGCATCACCCTGTAGTTCAGGGTCCACCTCAGCAGCAGGTCTACATCCATCAAACTCCCAAGTACCTATGCTGCTCAGGTTTGCAGTCTATTCCAGGAGGTACAGAGTACAGAGGCGCCCCCTAGACTAGACGCCCGTCCATTGCTGGATACGCAGACAAACTTCAGATCTACATACTATGAGTGGAAATCTACTCAGCACAGGGAGAAGATGCAACCACCATAAGTTTGCAACCTATAAGTTTACAAAGATGTTTTAAATATATACAAATATACTATTTTAAAAAATCCTCTGGTAAATATAAATCACTAATTATAATGACAAAAAAACATAACAGTTAAATAAGTAAATCCATGGATTAACTGAAGTTTTGCAAGTCCTACAGCTCTGGATGACTCTGCAGTGACTGACGAGTACGTGACCTGTAAGTATTTCAAGGTATATTAACTGAAAGTCCCACTTACTTCTCTGTCCCGTTCGATTTCGAGACCAGCCTTAATGAGGTTGGTCTCAAATTCCTCTCTCAGCACTCTCTTCTCCGCTTCTGCTGAGTCGACAGCCTCTACTTCCACTCTCACCTCCTGCTCCCCATTCCGTCCCCAGCTGTCCTTCCCAGCAACAGGACCTTGAAATCTGCCGTTAGATATGATGGCCAAGCTCTGGATCCCAGCAGTTTTGCTTTCTGGCGACTGTTTTCGGTAGTTGTAAGCTAAAACATAATCCACTTTCCTCTTCCCATCCCGAAAGTACTGGCCGTTCTTCGTGTCCACCGGGGGCTCCATGAAGTTGTTAAAAACCTGGGATTATGCACGTGTGCACTATGTTTAATACAAAGCAAATTGTATTAAAGCACATCAATACTTATATATAAAATTATAGCACTCACCGGAATTTTATCATCTGTCGAAGGCTGAGGCATGGTTCGATCATATAAAAATACGCTAACAAATATTAATAGTTAAATTTAATATGTGGGCAATCCATATTTCACCACATCTACCTCTACCTGAATGCGCACCAAATACATCCGATCAACAATTTGGCTGCAGGTGACTGGCAACAGAGCCTCCTGACTCTTAGGTCGCCCTAGAAACTTCTCGTCTTATTCCCAGATGTCCAATTACGAGGCAAACGAAGCACCTTTGAGGTGTTTAAGGCGTGGCGGCTTTTCTTTCTGGCGACATCACCAGAAAGAACATTTACATCAAATGCAGTTATAAAAGCGAAGCGGCTGCAAAGTCGTTCTCCATCGTTAACTTACCATCTGACGGCTCTAGTCCCTTTTAGAAAGTCTATTTACTATACAACAAAAATTACCGTTTTTTGAATTATAGGCTATTGCGTATGATCGGATATTGTTTTGTACGACGGAAAAGAATTGCATAATTACGCTTTAATTCTTACATAGGGCCTACGCCTACGGCAGGTTAAGAAACTCCTTGGAGAGAATAAAAGATTTTTGTGTGAGTGTTTATCGATTTTTGACTATTACTATTTGATTATTATTAATAATAATGCTAATTTATTTGTTTGTTTTCACAGAAGGTCAGTAAAAATCATAAGGTCTGAGTACAAGCCTTGCAAAGCCACAACTCAGTAGGCCAACTAAAGGATGGAAAAGTAAACACTTATATGTGTGTGTGTATGTAAGTAATTTACGAGATTATATTAATTTAATTAACAGGCTACATAGGTTAAGCAAAAAAAACAATAAAGTTTCTTTAAAAATGGACTGAACACGACGAAGTCATACTGAAGTATGACAGGTGAAAGGAGCAGGGTAGCACTGGCCATCCGGCATTTCCCCCCGATGGGACCTCCTCCTCGTAGCGGTCCCCAAAGTTTAAGGCCGATTTTTCATCCCAAACCAGCCCTGGTTCAGGCTTAATACATTCACTATACAAACGTTTTTTTTTCATCGTTCCTCCAACGTCGTTTATTAAACGTGCGCGTTGAGGTAGCCTCACATTTCAATCGATAAGGGTTTCCCCAACAGTCCAAAGAAGTATTATTGTCAATTGGGCTCCGTTGTAAATTTAATACCGACTGAGCAGCAGATGTCGTCATTGCTCTGCTTTTCTATACCGAGCAGCTACCCGTGCGGCTCTGAGCGCCTCTCCTGGGGGCTGTCCGGTATCCCTATGCGGCTCGCCTTCTCATTTGTTCCTTCGTTCTACAACGTATCATTAGCCTATAATAACAATAAAAATAAACATTTCGAAAGATTTAGAGAAAAAAACAGGCCCTTCTCATTCTGTTTTAAACGGATTTTTATTTTTTATGTGCGTGTGTTTTTGGGTCCACTGTATTGATATGGTAGTTAATTAATAGTAAGTTCATATTGGTTAGGTGGTAAATTATATTAGATAATTTTATGGTAAAGGTTTTTTATACATATAAAATAGACATACGAAACAAAATAGACATACGAAACAAAATAGACATACGAAACACGACTAACAAAGCCTTTGACCCTTAAAAAGTTACAGGTTTACTATTGTTATCAGTTCTTAATTTGTGTCGGATTCTACCGTTCCGGCAACTCTTTTTTTTTTTTTTTTAAGAAAAAAACCCCGAAAATTTCTAATAAAAATATACAGTATATTAATATACAGACCAGTTTTCAGGCTATTTCATGTCCTTCATTAGTTTAGATTTATCCTTAAAAATAAATCGTTTCGTCCCTCCGATCTTATTCCTTTGCGCACCAGCAACTGAAGCACTGCTGCCGATACTGGTAAAATCTATCGATCGTTCCGATTTTCAGCATCCTGAGCGCAACACGTCCTCCCGCGCATAAAACGAGGTGCGATCCGCTGCTGAAAGGCCGATAAAAGCCGGCCTGAGGTGCAGCGAAGGACAAGCGTCTCATCGAGAGAGACGCACTCCGGACGCGGACGCCGCTCGGTCAGGATAAAACACGCCTTTACTGTAGCCCAGCATAGTAACAGTGAGTTACACAGGCTTACACCCGACACAGTCCATGTGATAATAATGGCATATTTGACATGTTCACAAATATGCATGAAGTATTTGCTGTTTATTTTCAATTTTGTTTTCTGGGTAAGTTTCAACTCGATCGTGCATTTGCTTTTCGTAGACTAGCTGCATTTTCAGGTAACACATTATTGATGATGCTGAATGTCATTTAATTTCCTTGATGTTGTGAACTTGGCTCTGCAGTTAGTGAGGCCGCAGTTGGTATTGATCGGTGACGCACCAATTAGTGAGCAGCCGACCTAATGTCGTTTCTGCTTTAGCTGCTTTTCCAAGCATCACTAACGGACGTATCCAGAACATATTTCCTTAAAATACAATTGTCGTGAATGACTCATACAGACTATAGTATGGGAATGATTAATACAAGAATAGTTGTCCTTTATTTCAGGATTCCTCAGTTACTTCGTCAGTCTGCGAGTCGCTGTATGCAGGATTTGTTTTATTCCAGTACCTATAAATAGAGAGGATAATCAGGTTACCAAATTAAGATTACGGCTGATCCTCACGCCTCGGTGTCTCTGCCAATGCGCACCTCGTGGTAACATTTGTTTTTCCGTTTTTAAAAAAAATTATTTTCTCATTCTTTTTATTGAATCGGATGTTTTTTTTAATATTCATCTGTTGCATTCTTCAAGTTACATTTTGCTAACCATCATCACATCATTTATCAGACTCTTTTATCCAAAGTGACATACAACTGAGAGAGTAGGGTTAGACAGTGTCTGCTGACCCTGGGATTTTAATCTGCTACCTTCCAATAACAGGCACAGAGGTGCGATCCATTAAGCCGCACAATGCCTAAGAACTGTCAGAGATATCCCAGCACAGCAACTGATTTTAAACGGCATCTGTAATTTAATCACTTACTATTTGCGCATTTCTTTTCTGCTCGTTATATGGTTTTAAACGTACCACTCATCCATCTTGCGAACTGCTCATCCAGTAGCTACTGGATTATGGCAAACATACAGAGGAAGAACATAAATATGCCACACACACAGAACCGGGACAGAAATCAAACCCAGAACTGTAGAAGTATATACTGTGAATCATTTATTCATTATCATTTATCAATGGCCTTTACAGTAGACACTGGTTTTGAACGTAGTCTAGTTGATTGAAAACTTTGTCATTTGATGTTAACCTTTTCCTTTAACATATTAAATGCCTTACATATGTTTTTGTTTCATGTAGCCTAACTGGTTCAATGAAAAAACACACCTGCTATAGCAGTCTGTCATTCACTTCCATATAACTAAGATTATTCACAACATCAAACTTTTCTCATCAACTTATTCTCCTGATTGGCCCAGAAGACTAAAGATGAATAAACTGAGTATTTTGGACAATTTTAGCCCAGTTCCAAGTGTGTGCTCATACGTCTCACCTGCTCTTGCTACAGTAAAGCTCAAATTCCCCTCTTAGCATGAGATGAAATGTAATGTAATCACATATAACAAAGAAATATCAAAATCAACACTAAAAACAAAGACCAGTCAAAAAATAGAGGGTGAGCCAAGTTCTTCTGTGTTTTCTTCTCTTGCATTAGCTTGCAGGGACGGTGCTGTTTGCAGTCGCGCTGTGGTTACGTTTCAACTCCAAAACCAAAAGTTTTTTTGAGGGAGAACTATCTGCCTCTTTGTTTCTAACAGGTAATGTGACCCCCGTTCTGGATTTAAGTCACATGTTTTACTGTGGCTGGTGGGGTGGACATTTAAAAATAAAAAGCTGGACTTCAAATCCTTTAAGGTTAGGCTCTGTGTAGAACTGTATGGAATTGCATACTACTTTCTGTGATGTTTCATTAAAAATATAAGATTAATGACTTAAAGTGCAAGCAGCATACAAATGGGGCTGAACGGGCCAGTGAATTGGTATGATGTGGGCAGGGCCTTGATGAGCAGAGTAAATGTGTGGGATGTGTGGCAAATGTCAGTCATTTGAGCTTCAGTAGAGCTGTCCATGCACTAACATCACCAAAGCTGTGTACTGCACGATTCTAAACAAACATCCAGTAACGGTGAACACTGGTGCACCTTTGCCTTCCACAGGGGTCCACATCCTCATTGTTGCTGGAGCTCTCACCATGGCACTGGGCTTCCTGGGCTGCTGTGGTGCCGTTAGGGAGTCGCCAAGCACGCTCGGACTGGTGAGCCGTGCGGCGCTCATGGCTCCATTCTGATTGGCTCAGTCTCTGTCTTCTTCTCCCTCTCTCCAATGAGTGTCTCACAATGCCGAAATCCTGCACATTTCCCCAGAACAAGATGACTGTTTCTCTCTGGAGATAACCAGTGATTGAAGCTTATGCATTAAATCATATAAACAACATTTGATTTCAGATGATAATCAATGCCATTCACAGTTTGAATGAAAGTAGCACAGGATTCTGGGAAATAGAGTTCAAAGCTCTTAGAGATCATAAATGAAATAAGATGGGAGCTACCAAAGCACACTGTATGTGGTCCAGCTTCTATGGTTCTATAGTGGAGTGTTTCCCAATACGGTCCTTGGGGACCCACAGTCAGTCCATGTTTTTAGTCCCTCTGAGACAGTTCACATTTTTGCTCCCTCCCACCTCCCGGCAAAACATGGACTGTCTGTGGGTGAACGAGGACTGGAATGTGAAACACTGCTATAGCATCCTCTTCTATGCAATGGAAGCATAGCAATGCCGGCAAATCATCGCTTCATTTGTTTTCATTTGTAACACTTACGCTTGATTATTATCATGCTTTCAGTTCTTCTTCATTTTGATCATTATATTTATATTGGAAGTTTCATCTGGGATATGGGCAATTGCCAACAGCGAGAAGGTAAACTTTCCTACCAACAACCTGACCTCTATCATGCCCTAAATTCTTAACAATATAGCCCATCAAATCGGCAATTGTTTAGCACATTGTAGAGTTTTACAGGCAGTTAACTGCAAAATTGAAATAGATTACTTTTTGGCTTTTGTATTGATGTACCTAGTTGATTTGTAAAGTGTCCTCACTAACCTTCAGTCTTTCTTTTATGCACGCAGGTTTTGCAAAATGTAGAGCGATTCTACAATGAAACATACTATGAGCATTTAAGTAAAAAAACAGGAATTCTCACAAAAACAATCAACCTAATACACAACACGGTAAGTTCTCAGTCATTATTAAATGATAGATAAGCAGTCACTTTGTGGGGGGGCTTGCACACATATGAATGCAAACACATCTGCAAAGCTGCATAATAATGTTCTCCTCTCCAGCTTCACTGCTGCGGACCCAAAAAACATAGTCCCACATGTCCCAAGAAGGAGGGCGCGTCACAGAAAGTCAAAAGAGTGAGAACTGCTGTCTCCACACTCCAGAAGAGTAGAGAGGTTTTCATAGAGGGATGCAAATGTCAAGGCCTGCATATTTACTACTGTTCACTTGAGCTTAATTGCTTTACAGAAGCAATTTATAATAATTTCATAACTGGTGCAGCAGATTTCAATCAGGCACTACATGACAGTACTTTATATCATGCAATTCTAGCCCTTAACATCTTTACATCCCTTTGACCCTGCAACATACCTGCATGAGACATCCGTATAAGCAAAATGTAACAGAACAACCATATATATGCAATATGAAAAGTGGAAACACACCATTGCGTAACATGAAACTAAGAAAGATGGTGTATGTATTTTTGTGGCATGATGACAGTATCCCCCAGTAAACCACAGGCAAACAGGAAAAACCAGCCCCCGTTTTCAGCTCCTCATTTGTCTGTATGATTCTATTTCCTTTTTTATTAGAGTTGCTATCCAGCCATCAGGAGCCTGTTCAAAGACAAACTTGAAATCATTGCTTTAGTTGGACTGTCTCTTGGGTTACTCACGGTAAGATAATACAGATGAGACTAGGAATGACAGAGCTTGCAATAATTCCCACAAGCATACACCTACTAACATGATGTAAACCCTAGAGTTACACTCCACATGTCTCATTCCAGATCTTTGGTTTGGTCTCCAGCATGGTGCTGATTTACACCATAAGAAGACACAGAATGTGATGCTGATTGTGGTGACCCTGACAACGCCAAGCCTTGCTCTCATTTTTTCATGTATACCTTAACCTTTCAGTTATTAACTAAATGAAAATACACCCATTCTTTAGTTACAAAATTCTTCCTTAAACATTCTGATTGTGCGTATCTGAAACGAGTGTAACAAGACAAAGAACTAACAATACTTAGTAGGCGAAATATTATCAATTTGATACAGTCAAAAGCAATTAACGTTTAATATGAAAGGTATTGAAGATTTACGGTACTTGTTTTGATCATGTTTGGAACACAAACATTTTTTGTGATGCTTTTTTATGCTAAAAATAGGACTTTAATTTTCAAAAGTGAGTTTCTGAATTGTTAGCAATATTTTTTTTCAAAACACTTCACTTAACTGCAGGGATGACATTTTCTGAAAGAGTGACAAAAAATCTAATGGAAAAATTTTCAAAAAAAAAAATAGATCCTGGTAGGAATGTTTCACGGTTCCTTAGTTTTCAGCAATTTCACAGTTTGTCTTAGTTGCTTGAAACTCAAGGTCCTTAACACTAATTCCTCTGTTACCTACACACGTGTATAATATTAAAAGCAATACACCGGGGGTGTGTTTCCCAAAGGTTCCTGTTGGAGTCACATTTATGTTACACTTATTACAGTAAGGGTGACGCCTCACGGGGGGGCTAGGCACGGTAGATTGTGATTTTACCTGTGCACCTGCCAATGGGTGTTTGGTAGGGAGGGGGTGAGTGGGGAGTCACAACTTCTGTGGACCGCTTACGGTCGCTTGTGCCTCGTTTTATTGTTTTGATATCTATGATTAATTAAATAAATATGTTGATGATGTAATGCGAAATCTTGTTCCCAATGTTTGGAGAGCGCCTCTGTCAGACCTCCGTATCTTAGGCTCTCTGCGACTTTCACGGAATATAATTTAGCACTATATAACAGTGAGAGAATGTAATCTTTAGGATATTAGCAAAAAGCATGCCAATACTCATGATGTAATCATTACAATGTAATCATCATAATGTAATCAGCACAATGTAATCAATTGAGTATCTGCACCTTATGTTAGCCTCGAAGTTTCTGTTACTCTGGTTCTATCAATATCCACCTTAATTAGCCCTACAACTTATCACTATGTTGAAGATCAAATATATTATCAACCCTGCATCCAAGCAATGTGTAACAAGCTGAAGTTGCCAAGATTTGCTACAGAAGGGAAGGGAATCGCCTGAGTTTGCCAAAAGTTCACTGCTGAGCATTTAAAAAAAACAGAGAGAGATGGTTGCACCACAGATATGTTCAGCCGAGGGACCAAACAGTAAAAGAAATGATTGACAACCTTATCACCTAGGGGTGTGGATCAAGGGAGAAAACAACGATGGTGCCTAAGTGACGAGAGAAGGGAGCAGAAAGCGATGAGGAGGGCACTAAGTGAGAAGCAGGGGCGAGAGAAAGGTGAAATGGGACAGGGAGAGATATGGCTGCCATGGCATCAGAGTCAGCTCCTGTGAGCGGATGCCCCCCCTCTTTCATACCAGGGTCAGTTTCCAGTGATAGAGGGGAAGGTGGAGCTCAGAGGTGAGGTGACACAGAAGGATGAAGCAAATGGGGAGCAGAAAGAAAGGGGAAGTTGTTTCGATGGGTACAGGGAAGTGAGCTCCCTGCGGCGGGAGGCTGCAGCTGCCTCTAATGCTTCCTCTGTGACTGAGGCTGTGGCTGAAATGAAGGTGGAGCCCATCAAGTTGGGGGAGAGCCCAGCTGCCTGTCTGCAAGCCCAAGAAAAGCGGCGGCGCACTGGGACAGAGCCGGACCTGCAGAATCCGGCGTTCAGCGGTATGTCCTGGAGGGCACTGCAGGACGCGCTCCCTAAGCCAGTGAGAAACAGGCTAAGGCAAGTGGGGGGGCTTATTACTATGCCTGAGGAGCAGTACTGTGAGCAGCTGATCCATGCTATTGACTTGTACAGAGAGGAGGAGGACTGTGCTAAAGAGCATGAGAGGGAACTGACAAAGAAATTGAATCAGATGCAGCTGGAGGAGCGGCCTCCTGTCGCTGGAGCCCCCTGGGATACTAATTGGCCTCCGGTCCCTAAATGGAACAGAATGAATAGATATGATAGGTGGGGGAGTGACCAGAGAGCACCTAATTACCCACAAATTAAGCGATCCCAGTCTCTGGGAAGAGAGAAGTTGTCAATGATTCAGTGGAGTGCCGGCAATTTGAAGTTTGACAGCAGAGATTTGTGGCTGTGGAGCATGATAGGGGTGCAGTGTGAAGCAAAGGAAAGTGCAGAGGAATGTTGGCAGGAGATGGAAAGGGAAGCGCCAGAGGAGGTGTGGACCGTGCATGACATGGATGTAGGCCTAGTAAAGACAGTTAGCCCAGTGAAGATTTATCTCAAACCAGGGCGCACGCCACCCTGGAAAAACCAGTACCCCTTGAAACCTGAGGCCGAGGAAGGAATAAGGGAAACAATAGAGGGGTTACTGGATGCAGGGGTGTTGGTACCTACCATTAGCAGTTGAAACACCCCCCTTCTGCCTGTACCAAAGGCAGGAGGCGAAAAGTGGTTTATGATCTGTGCGCAGTGAATGGGGTAGTAGAGGATCAGACAGCAGAAGTTCCCAATCCACACACACTGTTGGCAAATGTGCCCCCCACTGCAAAATGATTTACAGTTGTGGATTAGTGTTCAGCGTTTTTCAGTGTGCCCCTCGTAGAATAATCGCAGTTTCTTTTTGTTTTCACCTACAGAGGTCAGCAGTACACCTACACGAGGACGTGGCAGGGATTTAAGCACTCGACGAATGTGTTTAATCAGGTGCTTAGGGCAGATTAAGATGGGCTGAATTGAAAAAGTACAGTGATACAGTATGTGGGTGATCTATTGCTGTGTGCTGACACGCTGACAGACTGTCACCAAAACTCAGTGCAGTTGCTGAAGGTCTTGGCGAAAGGGGCATAAGGTGTCCAAGGCCAAGCTGCAGTTTTGCCAAGAGCAGGTTACGTACTGGGGGCGTGAGATCAGCCATGGGAGGAAAGCTATAGCAGCAGAGCAGCTGGAGGGGATCACTAAGGCTCCAAAATCCAATCCATGACTGTGTCACAAATGCTGACTTTTCTAGGGATGACAGGGTTTAGCGTGGACTGGACTGAGGACGCTGTGAAGGTGGCACCATTGCGGGCACTGATGAAGGAGGAGGGCCACAGTAATTTGAAGGCCCCCTTAATATGGACTAATGAGGCCACAGTGGCATTTGAATCCATCAAGAAGAAGCTGCAGAGTGCACCTTCTCTGGGCCTCCCAGACTACACCAAGCCGTTTGATCTGTATGTAGTGACCTGGTTTTGTTTGTGGATGGCTCATGCTGGAGAGATGGAGACGCCTTGAAGGCTGGGTTTGCTGTAGTTCAGGCTCAGGGTGATGATTTTTACACTCTCGTTTCAGAGCCAGCGGCACAGCCGTGTTCAGCTCAGTTTGCGGAGCCAAAGACCTTGACTGCAGTGTGCTGGCAAGGACAGCATAAGATGGTTACAATCTACACAGACTCTGCATACGCACACAGGGTATGCCATCTGTTTGGGGCAGTCTGGGAGAAGAGGGGGTTCCGCAAAAGTGACGGCTCCGCCATTCAGCTTCATAATCAGATTTTGGAGTTGCTTCATGCATTGATGCTTCCTTGGCCTTTGGCTCTTGTTAAGTGTCAGGCCCACCGTAAAGATCATGATGTTCGAGGCAATGCTGCTGCTGATGACGCTGATCTTACCATCTCTGACCTGGTGGCTCTGAAGGAGCGTGCTGCAGTTGTTTAATCTGAGTGTTGGTAGTTTATTCTTTAGGATATTAGCAAAAAGCATGCCAATACTCATGATGTAATAATTACAATGTAACCATCATAATGTAATCAGCACAATGTAATCAATTGAGTATCTGCACCTTATGTTAGCCTCGAAGTTTCTGTTACTCTGGTTCTATCAATATCCACCTTAATTAGCCCTACAACTTATCACTATGTTGAAGATCAAATATATTATCAACCCTGCATCCAAGCAATGTGTAACAAGCTGAAGCTGCCAAGATTTGCTACAGAAGGGAAGGGAATTGCCTGAGTTTGCCAAAAGTTCACTGCTGAGCATTTAAAAAAATTGAGAGATGGTCGCGCCAAAAATATGTTCAGTTGAGGGACCAAACAGTAAAAGAAATGATTGACAACCTTATCACCTAGGGGTGTGGATCAAGGGGGCAAACAATGATGATGCTTAAGTGACGAGATATTGTTAATAAGAACATATTTAAAAATTAGTGTAAAAAAGGTATTGGACACATTTGGAAGCATTCAGCCTTGGTTGTAACCTTATTGTTACAATAAAGACTGAATCTGGATCTACACAAGCGGCTTCTGACAGGCAAAAAAAAAAACACCACAACACCTTTTCTGAAATCGTCCAAACAGTTGTCATTGGCAACTTGTACGGTTGGACCCATCAGTTGCGTGGTTCCAACTATGTTAGGTGCTAACATAGTTAGCAGCTATGTTTTTGGGAAAAGCACCCCCAGTTTGGAATTCATGCAGTCTGGTAAAGGAAGGAACAATGAACCTTGGGAGTGAAATGAGAGTGATGTTAATGCAAGCGGTAATGAGCTCCGTAACTGATATGGTACAGTGTGCAAAGGCATATTTTACATTTAGTAACAATAACAAAAAGGAAATTAGAATTATGTATGTATTTGGGCAGTGGCTACAAAGAGGCAGCATGAGATGTAAAGTGGAAGGTTCAAGATTTCAGTTGGTTTCCAGCTAAACTATAAGGTCAAACTCAAGGTCAAGGCACTGCACAGGTTTCTCTTAATGTCACACACATACATCATCTATTGTTAATGTAATTTTCTCTTCTCTGTGGTAGACTGCTGGCACTACACCACCATGGTATTTTTCCCACCATTCCAGTGCATTTGTAGGTGTGACAAGTAGAATCCATCTGCCTACAATCTATGGACTGTTCTATGGACTGTTCCATTGACTGTTCTATGGACTGTTCCATTGACTGTTCCATTGACTGTTCTATGGACTGTTCTTCATGGAGCTGCCAGTTCATGTCCCAGCTTAATATTTATATTTATTTATTTGGCTGATGCTTTTGTCCAAAATCTCACTCAAGGTTTCATCGATGACATCACTACCATGGGGATTTTTAACTAGCAACCTTCAGATAACAGATCCTAAACTGTAGCGTCACATATCACTACTTTGCAAACAGCAGTTCCAGAGGAGCTTGTGCGTTGTCTCGCATCTCATGGATGAGGAGCGTTCTGCTTTGTGCCCAGCTGTCTGATGACGTCTTTCCCTCAGACTTGCACACTGCTACCGCTGTCTGCTGTCTAGCCGCCTCCTGGATGTTCACTAGTGCGATGCAGACACTCCAGATCGTCCCTCTGAGGACACACTGACTTTACTCATAGACGAGACTGGTTCCTCTGAGCCAAGACCAAGCATGTTACTCAAACTTTAAACTGTACAGAAAAATAAACAGAAAACATGGAGTGCAGCTGGGGGGGGGAGGGGGGCAAAGAAGCAGCTATATGCCAGTCAGGGGGGTGCAGGGTGCTTCTCCCCATACAGCACATCTTGGATCAGCGCCCTTACAGACTCTGTGTCCTCAGGATCTGTCAAACACATACAGGTAGAGGGATTAACCTTCAGGGCAACTGATATCAACATAAATCACTGCCAAGGCATTAAGCCGGACCCCAAGGACTTTAAGTGCTATTCAGATCTGGATTAGTTTTACCTAGGGAGGTTTATAAAGTGATTGCATTGGCTGCTTCGGACAGGATAAAAAACAAGTATAATTTCCCCAAATTAGCAGAGATACCGGCGATTAAGCCCCCTCCATTTGTAGCAGGTAAATGCTCTTTCCACCTAATGAAAAACAGGCTTGCCTGCATAGGCATGACTTTACTCCCAAGACGACCATTCGGACTGGACTACTATTGCCAGAAGAGCTCAGCTGGCTGAAAAGCAGATGGCAATTTGCTCCTGATTTTTTTACAGTGGAGCCCTGTAATAATTACAGACATGTCCGATCGGATTATAATTACAGACCCCGCTGGTAAGTGCTTCAATTACATTATGTCCCCAGGTAAAACTAAGCCCTTCTGAACAGGGCTTTAGACTTTATCTTAAAGATATTACTGTAAAAGCAGTGTAATTTAGTGTAACAAAAAGATTTTCAGTTGTATGGTTTTGACTCAGTAGGTAAAATGTCAAAATGCTGCTCAAATAGCTTTTGATTTTGAACAACATTATATGAAACCCTTAAATACATTTCTCTTACTTTGCTTTAATACTCATATCATACATTTCCTCACTGTAGACTGACCAGCACATTTTTTCACTCCTTCATAATGGAATTCAATTGATTCATCTAAAATGCAGTATTTACATTTATTTACTCATCTGTTTTTGTTTAAAATTACTTGCAAGCCTGTCGAAGAAAGGGCATTAAAAATACCAAGGGTTGCAAAACAATGAAGGATGGCACAAGGTATATTATTTAACATGCAACAGAAACTAATTCAGACTCAAAAACTATGGTCTCAAATTCAGACAGTACAGAAACCTGTGGCTATTTTATGGTCCAGTGAGGTTATCGCTATGTTACTGGTAATGTATTGGTAAGTGAAATATTCAGCTCTCCATGTGGACAGCTGTTACAAGTCCTTATGGATAAGGTGTAGAAAACAATATCAAAGCAGATCTTTTTTTGCTATTTCATTAAACACCAGTAGGTGGCGAACATGATTACATATTAAGCGCCAATATGTGAATCCCAGCTTTGTCGCCTGTGTTCTGTGCAGGTCTGCATGTTTTTAGATACTTTCACCTGAAGCCCTTGCACCAACCCTCAGCCATTTCATTAGCAGTCACCTCTGCCCCCTAGATTCCCCAGTGTGAGTGTGTCACAGAGAGGCCTGAGTGACCATTCCCTTCCCAGTAAGCACAGCGGGGGGGGGGGGGGGGGGCTCACCCACTCCCTGACGCCGCAGCAGCTCGTGGTATTCGGTCTGCTCCTCCAAGACCTTCAGAAGGTTGGTGGACTCCATGCGCTCCAGCCCCACGCTCCAGTAGACGTAGATCTTGTGGCTGAAGCTGACGTAGACCAGGCAGGGTGTGTTCTTGCCCTCCTTACAGGCGTACAGGCCTGTCCCAGAAGGCACAGCCAGAGTCATATGCTGGGCTGAACATCCTCAGCCAAAAGCCACAGGAGCCTATGGAGACAGTGGCCACGGGACATGCTGCATCTCCAGGCCCAAATTAAGACATGGAAAATGGCAAAGAATGCACAGCCCGTGAGCCCTGGCTTCCTTTCTGAAGCAGTGAAGCAGCCCAGCCCTACATACACTCCCCTGACCTACTGCCCACCTGCACAGAAGGCGCTGACATTCTCATCAAACTGGAACCTGACCACAGCACGGTTGTGGTCGATGATGTACGTCTGCCCGTCCCAGGCACAAGCCACCACCTCTTCTCTCCCATCCCCCTGTACAGACAAACGGGGTCACTGTGGAGGCAGGGGCACAGTGGTGGGAGCAGAGAGGGGTGATGAGTAATAAAGGGGTGGAGTAGGGAGTATGGTGAGTAACAGAGGGGTGGTATTAGGAGTTGGTGGGTATGGTGAGTAATAGAGGGGTGGTAGTAGGAGTAGGTGGGTATGGTGAGTAATAGAGGGGTGGTATTAGAAGTTGGTGGGTATGGTGAGTGATATAGGGGTGGTATTAGGAGTTGGTGGATATGGTGAGTAATAGAGGGGTGGTAGTAGGAGTAGGTGGGTATGGTGAGTAATAGAGGGGTGGTATTAGGAGTAGGCAGGTACGGTGAGTAATAGAGGGGTGATATTATGAGTAGGCAGTATGGTGAGTAATAAAGGGATGGTGGTAGGAGTAGGAGGTATAGTGAGTAATAGAGGGGTGGTGGTACGAGTAGGTTTAGTGAGTAATGGAGGGGCGGTGGTAGGAATAGGAGGTATGACTGAGTAATAGAGGGGTGGCAGTATGCGTAGGAGGTATGGTGAGTAATAGAGGGGTGGTNGGTGGTAGGAATAGGAGGTATGACTGAGTAATAGAGGGGTGGCAGTATGCGTAGGAGGTATGGTGAGTAATAGAGGGGTGGTAGTAGGAGTCGGAGGTATGGTGAGTACAGCAGAGTGTTATACTCACAGTGACATCTAGCTTCTGCAGGGCAAATAGCTGATGGTCTACCTGCACGGACCACAGGAGCTGCTCAGTGCTGTCCATCAGCTTCAGGGTGCCTGAGACAGACAGAGACGCTGTCATGCTGACCACTCTCCTCTGCACACGCACCTTAAGCTCCAGCAGGATTTCACAGACACTCCAAAGTTAATCTGACGAGAAGAGACTGCTAGGCGTCGCTGTGTCACTCACCGTCCAGCGTGCAGAGGGCAAACAGGCCACATTTGGAGGGTTCACTGGAGGACCCTGGAACACCATCAGGATAGGGCTTTAAGAAGCCTAGCGACAAGGTACAAACATGTGAGGGTACGATGGCTTGCACTGCTGCCATGGGCTATAAAACAATTCAGACAACTCCCATAAATTAATTCTTCATAATAATATCCATCCATCCATTTACTTAAACCACTTGTTGTATTCAGGGTCCCAGGCAGGGAACCACCCAGGATGGGACGTTAACCAATCGCAGTTCATAACAATACATAAAACTGAATACATTTAAGAATCAGCTCAGTTTCTACCCAGGTCTTCCTGAATCCTGATTAAACAGACACATTTGGCTACTGTGGCCACAAGCCACATCTCACTATTGTTTACAGCTAAGTAAAGTGTCACTCTGCTGAACGTCATGTCCCGTCTCTAGCTTAGTGTCTACACGTGGGCTAAAAAAAACAAAGAAGCAATGCAACTAAACTCTCAATTTTCTCAGATTTTACTACATGTGACTAAACCATCGGGCCTGCATTTGGGAAAAACAGCATCCTGGAGGATCGACAGATGCAGGGAAAAGAGAAGCCGCACCTTGGCCGATGCTGCCGATCAGGTGGGTGGAGACGTTTTTGTTATGGATGCGGCCAGAGGTCAGATGGAGGATGACGTCTCTGGAAGGTCCATCCCTGTCACGCGTGCACATGAAACGTCAAAGAAGGGCGCACACCTTCAAATACATGCTATTTCGTTGCTGTTTCATAGCTTCAAGAGTCACAGGAGCGATTTAGTTCTGTGCACTTATCATTCAAAGCAGCTGATAAGGGGGTAGAGAACACACTCAGAACATACACCCACTGTACACATCCCACAGAGGTGATGGGAGTCTCCACCGTCTTACCCCTCAGGGGAGGATGAAGCACTGCAGTCAGGGTCAGCAGGGCTCTCTTGTGTCCAGGAACACAGGAGGATAGCGTAGCCACAGCCAGGCTGAGAGACCATCAATTCAGGGAGACCCTCAGGTCCAGGGTTCACAGACAGACTGTCAACCTGCGTGTGAGGACCAAGTCCCAGTAATTATAGAGGTTTATGTTCATCAGGCTCACAATGCATCTCAATCAGGCAACTCATTACAAAAGGATGCCTGTATACAGGTCTATATACCTGATATTGTGTCTCTCAAAGTGTCCTGTCTTGTTTGCTTGTGTCCCTGACCTGCATGTACCAGCGCACGCACAAACTCCTGACGTGCATATACTAGCGCGCACAAACACCTGACGTGCATATACTAGCGCGCACAAACACCTGACGTGCATATACTAGCGTGCGCACAAACACCTGACGTGCATATACTAGCGTGCGCACAAACACCTGACGTGCATATACTAGCGCGCGCAAGAGCTGGACAGTATGACCAAAAATTTATATCACGGTAAGTTATACCGATTTCACGGTATACGATGGTATTTTTAATTTTTTTTGTATGACTGGGCGTTTACCACATTTTACATTTTTACATTGCTCCCACATTAACTATATTATTCTATTACTAGCCATTGCGCCTGTCCGCTACCTTAATGGTAACATACGGCTAATGTGTTTGTTGGCTAACTGCTTATAGATAAACGGCTAATGTTAAGGTGCGCGCCGGTCAAGGTTAACATTTTTAAGTGATAAGTGTTTAAAAGTTCAGTGTTGCAGGAACGCGAGCTTTCTTAACCTCGCAAAATTTCGGGATGTCGGTGTTTAAGATGCTTCGCCAAGTTTGACGTGCTACTTGACTTCGTCGCCACAACTTTGTAGCGCTGTTTGCACAGAGGTTTTTGACATCCTTAGCCTTTCCATGCTCGTCTGCAAAATACTTCCAAATGGTACTTTTGCGTTTTTTTTTTGTTTTTTTTTTTTACTAAAGCAGCTTGCCAAGTGCATTCAACTGCAGCATATGCCATGTTTAGCCAACTTGGTATGTGTTTGTTAACCAGCGCAAATGTGTTCAGCGGCTATTGAGAGGAGGGGAGGGGCTGCGCGAGTGTGTGCGTGTGCATGCATGCGTGCCTGCGCTGTAGTGGTGCTGTGTGAAGTGTGGTGAATGAGGCGAAAACCACACTGTTGTTATCAATAATGGTGAAAATGAGTATCTAATCAGATACTAATTTTTAATATCGATTAGTATCTGAAAATTGATTTTTTCACAACCCCAGTGTCTCATTATTTTCAACTCCAGCGTCAGCTATATCTTCCATTTCTGATCTTTCACGGAACATATTTAGCGGCGTAGCAGTGAAAAAGGTCCCCCCCTTAAACAGTTTCCAGCTGCGCCACTTTCCGAACGTTGAGTAGGCTATTTAAATCGGTATTGCGGTATAAGAAAAATTCACATCATAACAATAATAAAAAACGGTTTTCGGTATGAACCGGTATACCGCCCAACATTAACTAGCACGCACACACACACACACCTGGCGTGCATGTACCAGCATACACACACACACACACCTGGCCCTCCAGCAGCCACTTCTTCAGTAGAACAAGCTGCCCATTCTCCAGCTCAGGGGCGTCTGGCGGCTCCTCCCAGCGGAACGCTCGCACCACACGGTCTGTGTAGCCCAACACCAGCTCATTCCGGCCATCACCATCTAATACATAGGGCATATTGGATCAGGGATAAAGCAGCAGATCCTGTAGGGTAGTACAGCCACTTCGAAATATGACAGAAGCAGGAGAGAAACCCATCAATGCCAGGAAAGGCCTTAATCATTTTGTGATTTATTTAAACATGGCGTTTTGAAAACATGTTATTATGAAGTGTTTAAGATAAGCGGTTTAAAGATCAGAGAGAAGAAAGGAACTTACCAATATCACTAATAAGAATCACTTTAGTGTTAGCTGGAATATGTTGCGTAAAGTAGGGCGTCTGATCATCAAAGAACAGTGCCTCCTGCTGACTGGATGATTCAGACTTCGCTGCAGCTGACAGGTCAAACAGGTGAAGCCAACCCTCTGCCCCCACAGCTATTACAAAGTTCTGACAGACAGGGGGAGGGGGAAATAGAGAGGGGGATGATTAAACAAGCTGAAGGAATTAGAACTCTGGTTCTTAACATTTTTGTCTGAAACCTCCCCCCCAAACAATATTGGTCAAGTCTCACCACCACTTTCTATAAGATAAAAATTCACTGACAGGTGGTGGGTCTAGAAAGAGAGAAGATTTAGCTGGAGGGGCCAGGGAGCATTTTATTTGGTGCCCCACAATTTGAGAACTACTGCATCACAATTAGTCCCATAAAAAATGACAGTAAACTTACCTTCCCTCTGTTGCAGATGTCCCCCACTCCCACACAGGTGAGCTGTAACATAAAATCGCAGAGTGTCCAGAAGTGAGCCTCGAATAAGCTGTCAGGGACATGCCAGCAGAATGGCACCTACCATCCCTGCGCAGGAGCGGGTCAGCCAGGGCTTGGACTCGTCATTCTTATAGACGTAGAGCTTCCCGCTGGTGTCTCCGACCACAAGCTCGTTTAGCTGCGAAGGACAGACCACGGTGACACACCGGGAAGTACCTCTCATCAATCTGTCACAGCAGATACTTCATCCAGCGTGTACCGGCTTCTCTTTCAATTTTATAAAACAATATGTTTTGTTCGGATAAATTATAAATGTTCTGATAAAAGGGGACAAACCGAACAAAAAAGCATCACGATGAACACATCAGAATCGACCATCTTCGCAAACTAAACGGACGAGATCTACAAATCACTAATCGCCCGTCTCCAATACATACCGAGTCGTTGTCTGCATCCCCCAGGCATATGGCGTGTGGAAACAACGTCCCGGAAAAGTCAAGGCTGACACGCTGCACGTAACTCACCGATCGCATGTTTTACATTTCTACATTTACATTTATTAATTTAGCAGACGTTTCTGTCCAGAGCGCCGTAGAGTTGGGAAAGCAGGATCCCTGGAGCAACTGGGGATAAGGCCTTGCCAACCAAGGGATATGAACCGACTTCGTTGTTCACTTATTCTTTGAAAAACGTAGCACTTAAAACCGAACCATAAATGTATAAGCACCCCACCGATTAACTATAATAAAGGACATCCTGCCTACTCCATAAGTATGTTCTGAAGTGAAAGAAAAACAAACTACAAACCCGCAGTACGGCGACTTGGTAGGGACATGCAGTATTTTCTTTTAAAAACGCATCTCTTATATGAAACGGCGTTTTACATTGCAATGACACCAGAAACAGACATCTTTCAATATAAATTTATGGTTTACATACATGCGGACTAACAAAATATAACACCGTATATGTTCATTTTAGTGTAATAATTAATTGGCATCCTCCGATCTTGATAAAAAAAGATTACATGGATCGATGGATGGGTGTGTGTGTGTATATATATATATATATATTAAAAATCTTCTGGGATTTATCAATGCCCATCAAATTTAGGACAACATAAATTCATAAGGCTTTACCTTCAATTGACAAACACAAAAAGTCTAGGACAGAATAGATTTTTATTGGAGAAGACTGATATGACATGGTTTTCAGAGGTTTATATTCCACATTCATAAGTCACTCCCTCCATAGGGTAGGGGACACCCCAGATATGAATACCCTTTGATGGACTGACATCATAACATTTAATGTAAATAGTTTTTAACAAATGATAAAACAGAATTCATAATTATATAGTTCATTTCTGTCCAGTTCGGATGACTCCCCCGTCTCCACATATGACTGAAGTCAGCATGAGCAGGTCATTGAGAGCGGTGGTACGGCCCAAACATAGCAGCCCGCTGGTCATTGAGAGCGGTGGTACGGCCCAAACATGGCAGCCCGCTGGTCATTGAGAGCGGTGGTACGGCCCAAACATAGCAGCCCGCTGGTCATTGAGAGCGGTGGTACGGCCCAAACATGGCAGCCCGCTGGTCATTGAGAGCGGTGGTACGGCCCAAGCATGGCAGCCCGCTGGTCATTGAGAGCGGTGGTACGGCCCAAACATGGCAGCCCACATGTGCCTCAGTGTGCGCAGGAGACTGGAGATCCAGGGGAATGCACTGGACAGTGCTGCTTAACACAAAAATCCAAAGCTGTCTATGTCAGGCCACGACCAAAGGCACTTTCACACACAAGAGATACGCTCTCACTACGGTGCAGGAGAGGGAAGACTCTGCATTGAGGTCTGGACATATGAAACAGGGCTGTACTGTGTGGCTCAGCGGGTAATGAGTCTGTGCCTGTGATCGGAAGGTCACTGGTTCAAATCCCCTGGCTGCCCTCTCCCCACCCTAGACCAAATCTACACCTCCCGATGCTGGAAAAAAGCTATGGACATTTCACATGATTCATCACATCCCGGTCACTGTCTCTTTCAGCTTTTGCCATTCAAGAGATACAGAGCCATGAAAACCAGGACAAATCACCTGAAAACAGTTTTTATCCCAAAGCAATCATGGCTTTAAATGCAAAACAGAACGGTTATTTTTTTACATTTCATCAGTGTAGTCTGTATATTCCAGTGCAATCTGTATAGTCAATTCAGTGCAATTTGTATATTTTTAATATATGTTATTAGTCTTTTTATGCCTCACATTGAGTCAAACTGCATTTTCAATTCCGCTGTTCCAGTGACAATGACAATAAAGATTCTTTATCTTTAATAGTATGGTTTCAAGACCATTAGCCTCATTCGACTGGCTAGCCCCGATTTCTCAACTGAACATTGCTTTTGATGGAAATGTCTCTGCTGCGGTTTTTGTGGCGTTTCATGGCCTCTCTCACCTGGATCTACTCGGACGAGGAGCAGGTAGAGTAGGAAGGCAGCCAGCAGCGCCCTCTGTATGGGTAAGGACTGCAGATGTGCCCGAGCCACAAGCAGCCCTTGGTGCAGCAGCCGCAACACAGCCGTCAACCTGGGCGAGTCGTGCCCTGAGGAGGACAAGGGTGTGTAAAGGACAAGCAATACAGAACACATGAACAGAAGCAGAAGAGCAGGAGTGACCCCAAACACTGCCCTAATGTTGGTAAGCAAGGTATTTCACAGCAATTTCTTAAATGAACAATGAAATAAAGAAAAAGTCTAGTGATATTGTTAGTCACTTAAAAGAATAAGCCAGGCGCCTAAATAAGTACATGTCAGCAGTGCCCCACAGTAGAATTATTCTTTACAAAAAGCCATATGAAAGTCATTCTCTGTACACCTTAGTGACTAAAACATAGCAGGAAAGCGACAGATGCCAGGTGGGATGACTGTAAAGAGCAATAGGGGCACCTCTTTGTGGAATGGTCTCGGTACTCGATGCCAGTGTGGAGCTCAGGGTAGGGGTGGGGGTGGGGGTATATCGCCTCTGGTTCTCCACCATCTCCAGGGCAGCTTTCCTGTGGTCCTCGCTGAATGCCAAGCTACCTACAGGGCCCAAGACCAGCTCCTTGGCCTCTGCCAGTCGACCACAAGGCAGTAATATGTGTAACAGGTACAGCTCTGCCACAGGCCCGAACCCGGGCACACTGCTGTTGGCTGGGTAATTCAGCCAGTGACTGGTTGCCTCCTGCATAGTGGCAGGCTCTCCAACCTTCCTGTACAAGAGAATACTACAAACAGGGAGAGGAAATGGTTAAAAAAAGATGACTAATTACACCATTAATACAATAAATGAGAAAAAAAAAAACATACCACATCTGCAGAATTTTCGCTGGCAGTTTTTCAGGCTTCCCATAGTACTGCAGGACCCAGCAAAGGACACCTTGCCACTTGTTGAGTTCTGCCAGTGCCTGAATCCCCACAATGCAGAAAGCCGACTTCAGCTCCGCGTATTTCATGCTGTCAATGATAGTCAAACATCCAGCCAGAGATGGGACTTTACATAAAAGCCCCGCTTACTGACGTCTGCGCAGACAGTACAACATAATCACAACAGCAAGTAATTAAGTACTGTGTCCCTTAATGTCACTTTAGCTGATTTTTTACCACTAACAGGATATCAACCACTGAAATAGTCATTCATAATGCGCCCCGCACCGCAGCGTCACGTACCCGCCGTCCTCCAACTCGCCGAGGCCCCCAAGGCTCTCCAAGCCCCTCTCACAGGTGTCGAGTGAGGACTGAAACTCCCTAAGAACCATGAGCTGCTCAGCAGCACAATCCAGCAGCCCCAGGGTGTTTGATGGACCCCAACATAACGAAGGGCTGCCGAGGGGAACCGAGCCCGTACTGCGGACACGAACCAGCGAAGCGGATGAGTAGTTCCTCATATCTCCGATGGTTATATCATCATAAACTGTCGCTTGTGTAGTCAAATACGGTGCGTTTTATTTGACGGGTTAATCCGAAACTATCAACCTAACTCTGCATCCCCACGATGGGTTAGTAAACACTGTTTAACTGCGTCATCAAAATGCGCCTCCCCCGCCAACGAGCACGCGCACATTACATTTTTCTGTGCAGGATTATAACCGTAGATTTAACAGAAACTGCGTTCTGCACGCTGCGTCAGAGTTGCTAACTTTCACCAGCTGATTGAAATGAGACAAGTCTGCACACAAATGCATTATTTTTTAATTGTATTATTACCTTGTAAATAATCTGTTTGGTTTGTAAACTACCCCTACGTTTTTGATATAGGTAATTTTGAGTTTATATTGGAATAACATATGTTTATGCAAGATATAAGCATATGGAATATCATATGCAAGATTTCTTGCGTGAGCTTGAGAGTCTAAAAGGGACGAGGCTGAAGTTGTCTCCTTATTCGCAGCTCCTTATTCGGATTTTCTGGTCCATCTTAAATGCTGCGCAGCCGAATGCAATGACGTGATTGCGCCTGTAGGGGGACATATTTAGCTAGCCTTACCTTCAGAAATTCATTTAGCTTTCGATTCGTATTAACTGAGCACGATTCTACTGACTTGTTACCACTTTGAGGAAAGTACATATCTTGGCAGTTTTAGTAATAGCATGTGTGTATTTTATCAGGAAATGAAACAAACACAAACGTCTTTCCACTCCCAATCAGGCCCGGAAATATGCCCAGTCAGGCAAATATGAACTTCTCAGTACACATCAGGTACCCAACTATATAGAAAAAGTAACATTATTTTGGCCCAGACTGATTTCATACTTCAAAAATCAGATGGAAACAAGGTCACACTTGAGCAAGGTACCGTCCCCAAGCACTGCTCCCCTGGCACTGCCCATGTCAGCCATCCGGAAGTCGCTTTTCATGGCATCGCTAAACTCCTCCCACACCCGAGTTTTTGCCTCAGCGACCACCGAAGCCGCATTCCGCTTGGCCCGCCGGTACTCATCACTGCCTTCAAAAAGTACTTTAAGAAGAAAATATTCTACATTGTGTCTAATTTATTTTATCTAAATATCTAACACCTCAAAGCATACTTGAACATTTAAGCACAATATAATGTATACACAAATTAATCACACATAGTGTTAGAGCCAAATTATAGGAGAATATTTTTGTTACTATTTTGAATCTGAATATTGTTTAATGCATGCTTAATAATAATAATAATCTGTCATAATTGAAAATGTGGAAATTTAGGCAGCATTATTGATGCTGAATTTCTATTGGTCAGTAGGTGGATTCTATGCTGGGCACGTGATAGAGGGTTTTTTTGGTAGCAAAAGAGACATATGCGCAGCTTGGAAGCGTATAGCTTTTTGACCGTAAGTCCTCATCCGTTATCGCTTTTCTGTGATTGTATTGGAAATATTTAAACTTATTCACGGCTGGAAGTGACCCTGTTGATGACAACCTTCCGAAAATAAAAGAGCTCAAGGGTTGCGAGGATTTGTAGTTAGTGAGTAAGCTTGTTAATGAAGTGGATGCTAGAATGGATGTGGATACGAGTCAAAAATCATCTAGTCTGCTCATATGAAGAAGTGGTTAGATTTATTTAAGAAAAACGCAGAAAATTTGCCACTACACATAGAAATTCGGTAAAATTATTAAACTTACGATGTACTCTTTTACAAGCTCTTGGTGGTCTTCGCTGAAGTACACGCACAAGGCCTTGAGGATACATTCCCTTTGAACATCTATTGAGTTGTTCTATAAATCAAGACAATATTGCTTTTTATATACTGTATATTAAAACATGTCAACTACTACTCTTGAGTCAACCAAAAAGAAAAAAATAATACAACTAGGAATTTGTGTAAAGCACTTTATATAATCCTATAAAAATAATTTCAGTTGAAGAATCAACAAGGTGTAATCGCTACTAACCTGAGATAAGCCCTCCATTACCCTTTTTATTTTTCTTCCACAAACTCCTCCCTTGCAAATGGTCTTTAATTGCTGACACCCTAAATGCAACATGTCTGACGGTGATGGCCATGGACATTATGCTTCAGGATTATCTGTGAAAAACTTCTGTTCAAAGAGGTCAAGTCAGGAAAAATAATTAGTATGCACACATAAAAAATATTAGTATGCACACATAACTGTGATGAACATGTGTGTGTTTTGTAAGCCTAAATGTACAGTAAAATGTAGTCTTTATAACTCAAAAACCAACTGTCCACATATGTGGACGTCATGCAACAATGTCAATGTCTTCCTTGTGTAACCCGGTATTTTTCAAATCAGATTTAAATTAGCTTATACTAAAATTAAACAGATAATAAACAAAAATGTTAACAAAAAGGATCATGCACAATGATCACATTTCATTTTGGATCTTCATATGTTTATAATTGAGTTGATTCACCATGACCTGAGAATGAACTATATATTGAGAAATTAGTTAATTGATTAATTGATTATTGTTTATTTCATCAGCAGTGGATGTTTTGTCATATCTACTACACTGTTGCAAACTTTCCGCATACATTTCACCACAGTTCTGAATATCATTTTGAGGTTGTCCTCTGTGTTGTTTTTTAAAAATGTGTTTTGGTGTTTTTTAATAATTGAGCATATATACATAACATAAATTGAAGTAAAACAGACATCATATTAATTATTGTCAGGTGTGGCTTTATGGCCCATTTTACTCCTTTGTTGCATGATCTCCACATAGGTGGACAGTTAAATAACTTTTAAATAAAAGAGAAACTAAAATGGATTTCAAAGTAAGCACAATCCAGAAAAATAATAATAATCTTTTAAAAATCTGGATAATTTTTCGCTTTATTCATGCATGAAAGGGCTACAGGACCCCAACTGACCTTTATGGGTGACTGAAAATGTTTATGATATTGTCCTTTCTTTGTAAGACAGCCAAAAGTGTCAGACCACGTGTGACTTTGTTGTTAGTTCAGGTGACATGTGCAACATACCCAAGGAACACAAGAAGAACGGCATCAGCAATCACACCGACAGAACACAGCAGCAACCCATAGCTCCGCCCGCTGCCTGCTCCAGTTAACATAATATAGTGCCAGGCGGACAGAAGCATCGCGGGAGCAAAGAAAGATAGCGAGGCTTGTCAGGGAAAACACGCTCATTAATAGCAGTCCTTAGCAAGACTATGACAAGCACCCAACAAGCAATGAACCAAATACACGGTGCAGAAACACAAGGTTGTCAGACGGCAAACAGTAAAGTGCACACATGGTGGGAGATTTACACAAGCTAAATACACAGGATCGGACAGGGTACACACAAGATACAGGCAAACACAGGTGCGACAGCAGGGAAATGCAACAGTCATTCATTATCTCAGCATATGTGTTATAAAAATGCATAGATAAGATAAGAGATAAGAGACTTTATTGTCATTGTATCAGAAATACAACAAAATTTGTTTGGTAGCTCACGGCTCAGCAGCACAGAGGTATACATTTCATGTACCACATTAATATAGAATACAGTTATATATAACTAAAAAAACTAAGATAACTATTAGTAAAATACAATATAAAAAATATTTTCCCTAGTGCAGTCTACAGTGTGCTGGATGGGAAAAAACTAAATTATTTACAGATTATAGGTATTTACAAGTCAATGTGATTTAAAATGACCAAGTGCATATCAGCAACAATACAGAGGTGGTCAGTGTTCTGCAGTGGGAAGGGGTGTGACGGAGGCCGCTGCTCTCGGGAAAAAGCTGTTCCTTAGTCTGCTTGTCCGTGACTTCATGGTCCTGAATCTTTTGCCCGATGGGAGGGGGACAAACAGTTTGTAACCCGGGTGGGTGGGGTCCTTGATGATGTTGCTAGCCTTCCTACATAGTCGGCTAGCATAAACATTGTTTAGATCTGGGAGCTTGGTACCCACGATCCTCTGAGCAATCTTAACTATCCAGGCCAAGTCTCTCCGGTTCTCTGCAGTGCAGCTGGAGTAACACACTGTAGCCCCGTAGCAGAGAATGCTCTCTATTGTGCTCCTGTAGAAGTTAACAAGGAGCTGAGTGGGAAGTCTGGCATTTTTTAGTGTTCTTAAGAAGAAAAGTCTCTGTTGAGCTCTCTTCACTAAGTGAGAGGTGTTAACAGTCCATTTCAGGTCCTTTGATATGTGGATCCCCAGGAATTTGATGTCATTTATGGTGCGTTCGATTATTTCTCTCCAAGTCGGAACTTGGATGAAAACGTCACGAAATGTCACGAAAAACGTCACTTCCCGTCGGAAACACGCCCCTTTTATGACGTTGAAGTCGGACCAGATTTTGTTGCCCGAGTTGCCCCTGTGACGTAATTTCAACATGGCGACTTGGTTTGTTTGTAGTTTGTCTACCGATCGAAAAAAGAATATCGCTATAATGTACTAAAATATTTTATAAAGCTTTTAATGTGGTTTGACTGGTTCGTGTTTCTTGTTCGTCTCTCGGAAAAATCTCCATTTCTCCATTTGGAAAACTCCAAATCTGCTAAAATATAAAGCAACAACACACAGCAACGTGTTCATGGAGGCAGCCATGTTTGTTCCGAGATGTGGGTAGCTCGAACGGGAGATTGTCGGACGTGATGTCACTCAACTCGGAGTTTCCGAGTTCCGAGAGAAAAACTAACGCACCATAACCCTCTCCACTTCCTCTCCACGTATGTGGAGGGGGGAAGGTGTGGTTTTCCTGACTGTCCTAAAGTCCATAGCAATGTCCTTTGTCTTGGATATATTCAAGACAAGGTTGCTGTCTGAGCACCACTGTACCAAGTGTTGCACCTCCTCCCTGTAGTGGGTCTCATCCTCTCCTGTTATCAGTCCCACTGCCGTGGTGTCATATGCAAATTTCAACATGTTGTTGGAGGTGCGGATGGGTGTGCAATTGTGCGTGAATATGGTGAAAAGAGCTGGGCTGAGGACACTCCTGAGCTCAGTGTGAGAGTGGATGATATGCGGTTTCCCACCCTAACATTGTGGTCTGTTGGTGAGAAAGTTCAGAGTGGTGGTTAGCCCCAGGTTGGTGAGCTTGGTAATCAGTTTGTGAGGGATTATTGAGTTAAAGGCGGAGCTGAAGTCAATAAATAACATTCTGGCATATGTGTCAGGATGCTCCAGATGAGACAGGGTAGTGTGAAGTGCAAATGAAATTGCATCTTTTGTTGACCTGTTTCCCTGGTAAGCAAACTGATGGCTGTCCAGATCAGTGGGAATTCTGGCCTTGATGTGCGCGAGAACAAGCCTCTCAAAGCACTTCATAGCAATCGGTGTTAGAGCAAGAGAACGATAATCGTTGAGACATGTGACTACTATAAAAAGCATGATTTTCACTGTTCTGCCATCCCCTGATACAAGGTTTTCATTGCTCTATCACTTCTTGAGAATTAGGCTAAGATTAGATTAAAAATAGAATCCCTTTCATTCAAGAGAGAGAGCAGAGTACTATACAATACTGTATAATGATAATGTACAACATACTTTATTATTATTGTATTGTTGTAAATGTCTTACAGTTTTCAATTTATCAATTAGACTTTACCATATGCATGTACACGAAAATCACATCACACATGAGTGGTTCACTCTTATCTGCGGTTTTTGCTATCCATGTGTGGTAGGTCTTCGGACGTATTATCCGTGGATAAAAAGGGACTACTGTGTTCTACTTATCACAACTGAGGAGACAGGCATCATTTAACTTAAATAGGCTGATTATTTTAGCCTTTAATGCAGTTTGCTTTTTGCATTCATACAGGACTGTTTTTAATACCACACAGCAATAATAAGACATGGCAGAGCTCAGAAAGATGTATATAGCACAGGTGTAAGTTCATTTTGAATCAGCAGGTAGAAAAAGCATGAATGTTTCAGTGAGGATCCTACACATTCAAACATGTTTGGTCAAGGCCTCTGTTCCCATCAAACTGCGTACAGCGGTTATTATCACAGCAGTACACAGGCACAGAGTTGATTTGCTTCAACACATTGTATAATTGGTCTACATCAGTGTCTTTATAGAAAATTCTGTCGTAAACAAATGCCTTGTACCCAACTTGCTGCTTAAAGACATCCCCTAACATCCAAATTATATTATTACGATTATCTTCATCAAGACATTTGGTTAAACAGGGGCTGAAGTAAGTGTAGACGATCAGACATTTGGCCTGGTTTCTCCCGAGTCCTTTGAGAACTCGATATTCTGCATGATCTGTGTATCTTAACTGACCATTATTATTATACACTTTCCATGGAATAGCTGCTGTTACACCAGCAGTATTAAACACAGCCTCATTTGCCATTTGATTCCTGACCGCTGCAAAGTTAGCTGTGACGGATGTCATACTTCCTGAATCACAATCGTCACTTGTGAGCTGGAGACCCACGCTGTATTGGACACCCCTGTAAAAATAACATGCCGTAAATTCCCCATACTTCGATACTATGATTAGATTTTTTTTCCCAGTAATGAATTTAAACTGCACTGTGGTTCTGGGGAACATTATTTTGTGTTACTGAATGCTGAATGTGGATTTAATATAGATGGTATGACGACCTCGGATAAGCGGGAGAAAATGGATGGATGGATGGTATGACAATAAAGACCCACTTGACCACTTGATTGATAGGTACATCTGGTAGTATACATCTCTGCATGTCCTTTAGTACATGAATTAGCAGAAATATTTGGTACTCACGTTGCCATATTGGGGTTGTTTTTATTTCTTATCTCATCTCGTAACTTCTGAGGGTCCAACCTGTTAAGACAGCACATCTTCAGGGTTTAGTGCAGGTATACATGGAAATCAAGTTTCACAGTTTTTTTCCATAGACTATGCTAAAATTCAGTAATGAAAAAATATAATTTTCTACGTTTATAAGATATGTCTACTTTGTCCACTTTACCTATTCTTCATTCCCTTTATGATGTTATGCAGGTTTTGGTTGTTTAAGTTACTCTCCCCTTCTTTGAAAATGAGGAAGAGAGTCAGGAGACCCACAGTCCAAACCCCAGACATGACCTGCAGCAAACAGTGACAAACCATGTACATCATACAGTGCACTACGCTCAGCCAGACAGTGACAAACCATGTACAGCATACAGTGCACTACGCTCAGCCAGACAGTGACAAACCATGTACAGCATACAGTGCACTACGCTCAGCCAGACAGTGACAAAATACTTTTAAAATGACTTTAAATAGTTTTAATATTTAAACTGTTTGCCACTGGAACAGAATCAGAGACACTTGAATGCAGTATATCTGTTATATAGCATATTACATTTGTAGTATATCTGTGTTCAAGTATATTAGTCAAAATAATTCATAAGTGAAAGTTTGTATTTTTTTGCCCATTTTAGCAAATTTTACAAAAATGTTTCCAAGCTTCACAAGTATTTCATTAAAGAAACTGGAGAGGAAATTTCCCAAACATGTTTTCGAGAAAATGCTTGCGGAATTTTGGAAATTCAAATGAAAGTTCTTCATTTTATTACATGAGGACTGAGTAAGTTTGGGTTCTTAATACTGTAACATATGATGAGGAAGTCTGACTTCAGATAATTGGAGATCGCATGTCAGAGGCAAAATGTACAGCGAGTTCTGGAAATTTGCTCTTCTCTTGTATTATTAGATGCTTTGAAAGACTGGAAACTTGTTTCTTTTGTATGATATACTAAAAAGGGCAAACTGTCCCACATATGTGGCTGCTAGAACTTTATCCATCACGGATGTGCTGTCAGTGTTTATAAAAAGTACCAAATCAGCTGTGCTCACCATGCTGTTTTCTCAGTGACTGCGTGCAGGAGAAGGTGAACCTCTTGCGTTACTGATCTTCCTTGCAGGATTGACCTTATCTCGTGTCGCTGGTGAGATGGAAATACGCTCCGCACCAGTCTTTATAGTGCAGTCACTGGTAATGAACCCGCCCCTGGTAGGAGTAGCTATGCTTCATTAGAATACAGTGGTACCTCAGTTCTCGAACTCATTAGAACTCGAATTTCTTAAAAGTCGAACCAACCGGACCTGAATTGCCTAGAACTTGATCTGAATCTCATTAGTAAAACCGTGAACGCCGACCTAAGATAACTTGTACACTCGGGGAAATGAGTCACGCGGCACGTCTCTCAGCGGAAACAAAGGGTAACTTCAGTCTCAGCCTCGCATTCGCTGTGATAGCATGTTTACACTAACTGAATACATATGTTTAAAATACATTTAGACAATGATACACAGTAACAGTAATTATTATTATATAATAAAATGCATTTAAAAATAAAGATTTCTTATTCATTTTTATATTAAAAATAAACCATTAATACATTTAATTATAATAATATTGTCCTGCCGAGCGTGGACGGAACGGAGACAAAGGCGCAGACATCAGGGTATCGGGGAATACGGGGTTTAATTACAGGTAAGGACAATACAATGACTGGACTGGGGAAACAAACTGAAACGCGGACGAAATACAGAGGACTAATGACAACAACCAGAAACAGCTGATCACACGGGGATTCCACACGGTAGTGTTGCGCGGGTCGGCTTTTTTTAACACCCGCCCCAAACCGACCCGTCAGGAGATCCAAACCGCCCCGCCCAACCCGCAAAAATACGCGTG